TGTTTGTCCCGTTCCTGCGGACTTGCAGGGGTGAGGTGACGAGAACACGCAAGGGTGCCAGCAGGCTGAATCACTGCACTGCAGAGGACAGCAACATGAGATCACACCAGCTGGCCTCCTCATGAACCATGTTGTCATGCCGGTGACCTCACCACGGCCATCGTGCAGGAAGTGAAGACAAAGGTGCCAGACTAAGCAGAACGAGAGAGTGTCTGGGTGGCCAGGAAGTTGTCTGTGTCGGATTCAGGAAGATCAGATAATTTTTTTTTTTGGAGAACCCAGCTGTACCATAAGGGACCAGTGAGGTATGAGGCAAGACAGGAGAAGTTACAGTATGTTTCATACTTGATAGGCATGCTTTATGGAGCTCAGTATAGGGTTACAATGCCTATTAATATTTCACAGCAAACGACACAGAGGGTAGCAGTGCACAAGGAGGGATTCTGAAATCAATCTCTCTTTTTCAATGGGTTTCTTCTGAACAGAAATAAGTAAACACAATTTTATGGCAAAGGAAGCAGCAGGAGTGTCCTCTTTTTATATGCCATGACGCACAGACCGTTACTGCGCTGGATACACTGATATTTATTCCTCCTGACTCATGGATACTTGTCTGAGAGGTGCAGCAACAGCTGTGAGAGCTGAGTGTGGAAGAATGGACAGCGTTCTACAGTAAAGATACTGCTGAAAACATATAAAGAGAAAAGAAATTATAAAACAAATTGTGGAAAGAAGAGATTAACAACTATGAATACAACAAAGACCTCTCCTGTTTAGATCTTGTTCATGATTGTAGAATAGAGAAAGCTTTTTAGACTTTTGGAGTAGGATTCTATCCAGTATCCTTGATTGGAGTTAAAAGCTACATTCTCTTCCCATTTCTATAAGAAACTGTGAAAACATTTCAGACGATTGGGCACACGTGTTGTCCAGCGTCATTGTCTGTACTTACATTTTCTTCCTGCTTTGTGCAGACTTGACAGGGTTGAGGAGGTACCTACTTATCTGTGCAAAGAAGTTTGTAAAGAAGCAAAACAGAGCTTCATCTGTAACCATAGGAACAAGGCGTGCTGCTTAGCCTGCTTCTGCAGAGAATTTGTGGAGACCTAAAGCAGGCCTCATTACTAAAATATCTAGTCCTCTGCTTCCAACCAGGAGATGGGCCCGTCCTACAGTGCTGGTCTAGTAAGAAATGACGCACCGATTTCCTGCTCATGGAACAAACCAGTGCAGACAGATCAGGAAGTTTTGGCGGCAACGCGATCATTAAAAGTGAAGACAAAATAAAAACAGGACATCACACAGAGCGCTTGCTTGCCTGGAGGAGCATGACAGAAATAAAAATAAAAATGTTTTTGGAAACATAACTCCAATGGTATATTTGATTGTCTGTTTAAGGGGAAACTGCTAAACTTTTTTTGTATTTCGGGGTTAGAATCAGCATTGATGACAGCATTTCAAACCCCAATCCGTTAAATGTAAACAGTAACTTGAAAAACCTCCAATTTACATCCCAAAATAGATGAAATTTCCACGTATGTGCAGTGTCATGTTCTGCGATTTAGTACGAGATAGCGAAATTTCTGGTACCGTCATGTGGCCCTGTTATACTGTAAACAAGCCGGGTTGTGAATACATCTCTTTAAATCCAGTAGAAATATAGCTCTTAACTTCAAGATGGTTGTTGTCGATAAATGGAACTTACTTGTTAACTTTGCATGCAGATCATGCTGGAAACTTTCTGCAGTGTAGTCTGCTGCACAACCTGTACTTATTAACTTGTCGCTTGACATTAATCATTACAGGGACTAGCGAGCAGGAAGGGCTGCTTCACTTTGGAAGTCAAAGTGAAGGAAGTCACACGAACTCGCGCTCTCGCCCTTTGGGACTGCAGTTCCCCTTTAAGAAAACAATGACTGTAGCCACCATAAAGGTATTGTCTTCCACTTTGCCTACAATTAAATGTTTTGCCATTTTAAAATGATATTAAATTAATTAACAAAGCTTTTTTTTTCTCAAAATACTCTCATGCTTTAAAGTATACAGTTCCTTAAGTTACTCGGTAAAAAATGTGATTGTGCTCGGAAGTGAATCGTTTTGATCATGTCCTGGGGATTACTCGCAGGAGCTAGGCAAATACGTTTGCAAATGATCACAGCAATTGTGGATGGCTAAAAATCCAGCAGAACTTACCGCTTCTGTGTCAGAACAGGTCTACCTGTGGGCTTCTTTAAAATGCCCAAGACAACTTATTGTACACAAGAACAAGAAACAGGGACTCCTGACATAGCCTGTTTTTAGAATTATATTCAAAGCTGAGATCCCAGCCCGAGAGCACAGTATCTCTATCCTCAGCCACACGTTGATTTCTGGGAACACAGCGCTGTCTCTCTCACCCACCCTCTCTTTCATCTGAAATGCAATAAGGCCACTAATTCCATTGGTGTCCGTGTCCCAGAGACCAGCCAGTGGCCAGATTGCCTTCAGCATGGACAAACCCAAACACATCAGACATGGATTAGTCTCATAACCGAGCATCTGCAAAGAATTAGAGTTAGGGCACATAAATGGGGCCTGACACAATGTTGATCCTAACCGAAGCCATAATTCTGTGTTGTTAAATAATGCCGTCCAATGAGGAATCACTGTGGGAGCGCAAGAACAGCAATAACACTAAAGATTGCTCAGTGCTGCATCAGGCCTGCATTAACAGACCCTCTTATGGGTCGATGCACATGCTAAATTTAGTCAGGGGTGTTTATTTTAAGACCAGAGTGTACACAGTCTCCCCCTCCCTCTCCTCTCTCACACACGCAGGACCAGAAATGAAAACACACAGCCCTTTTCTTCTCTTTCTGAGGCCGGTAATTGATCTCAGCTGATTTTCCAATGCATTTAATGCTTCCAAAATAATAAAGCCAAACATACAGTCTTTGCAGAACACAGTTTGGTCTCTCTTGCCAAGTCATACTCCATGAAACCTGGTGCCTTTGTTACCTGAACACCAGCTGTAGGCGTGGTTCCAGGGTCCCGCGGTCTCTTCTAGACAGAAGCAGAAAGTGTAGGAGCCTCTGGACTACCTAGAAAACATTCCCTTACAGGAAACAGACAGCGATGTTAACTTTTAGCGTGCAGAATCTCACAATTTCACTGTTCGTAACCTGACTGACTTGTCTGATGGTGGAATAAAGCACAGGGGGTCTTTGTCTTTCTGAATCAGATTTTTTGGGGGGAACAACATTTTCTTTTTGTTCCGTCTCGTGAGTCAGACAAAAATGAAAACCAGATGCAGCAAAAAGGCACTTTTGCCACATCCGTTACGTTTTCTCATTCAGCTTGATCGTTAAGGAGATTCCTGAAAAAGGTACACCCTAAGAACCGAGGGGCTGAGAAGCAGGGGGTCAGAAATCTTGTTGGTGAGGAGTCAAACTCTTTTCTAATGGGGGCGAAACAAATTCACAACCTGGCCTGGCAGAAAAGACATAATCACACTGCCTGAAGAACTTCACCACAGAGTCTGAACCCTGCCTTTCACCAGCTCTCCCTGTTCCTTTCCACCTCGAAACAGAATTAAAAGTGGCAGGAAGGCAGGAACATTATTTCCACCATCTGTCATCTGTTTTTAACCTTTCAGGCAGTCCTTCAGCCCTTCATTTCCCAAAACATTTTTCTATTCTTCATCCAATTTCCTGGGGCTGTTATGAATTATTCTCTTGCCCACAATTTCTCAGATGCTCATTTGCTGTTGCGTGTGGAGATGCACACCACGCCTGTGGCCGTTTCTTAGGTTTCAGTGAAACCCCAAAATTAATTTGGTCCATCAGTGTGCAAAGGCAAAACAAAAAAAAACAGATCCCCATTTTCTGAGAAGCAAATTAGGAGGTTTTTTTTTTTTACTTCCCATTCAAAATCATTCTTCCTATGAAGAATCGTCCGGTCATTAAATAACACAAGGACGCTGAACTAGGCCATCCAAGATAAAAAAAACTGCAACACAGTTCACAAAACTGGACCCTCGGGATAATTCTCTGGCAGTCAGAGAACACAATGAACAGATCCAGCACATGGTGGGTCCATTCACCCGTTAAAGAGGAATCACAGTGCCTCTAAGTAACGGGAGCCGGGATGATGATGGCTCTGGAATACTTCGCTCATCCTTCAACAGAGATTCCCTGATCCCTGGTGAGGGTCACGGCAGGCAGGAGCCTTTCCCAGGAGCACAGGGAGAAAGGAGGGCAGACGTCTGGGTGGGACAGCCGTGCACAGCAGTGCAGCGATTCCGATTGACCCAGGCAGAGCGCCATTGGAACACCTGGAGACAGCCACATGGACAGAACAATTCTGAACAGAGGGAGCCCCGGATCAGCTGCCTCCGCCGGGGAGGAGCGGTGGCTCTGTGGCTCAGGATCTGCGCCTGTGGCTGGGAGGTTGCTGGTTCAAATCCTGCAGCCAGCAGAGGAATCCTACTCCGTTGGGCCCCTGAGCAAGGCCCTTAACCCCAGCTACTCCAGGGGCGCTGTACAATGGCTGACCCTGTGCTCTGACCCCCAGCTTCTCTCCCTGTCTGTGTGTCTCATGGAGAGCAAGCTGGGGTCTGTGAAAAGACACATTCCTAATGCAAGAAACTGTATATGGCTAATGAAGTGATCTCATCTCAGCCTGCTGCCCTCCACTATGTTTTCCCCTTTATTTCTATGGCAATCTAACAGCATACTTAAAACCAGGTGCAATCTTTACCATCCCTAAATTAGATGTTGCCGACCCCGATCCATATCTGACCTGGGGGAACTGGGGAGCTGTGGGAGACCACCATCTCAGCGGCAGAAGCGGGGAATTCTTTTACTCCTCTTTTTTTTTACCAATTGAGAATGAATCCCAATTTACAACATTGTCCTGGGTCTGTCCTGATCTGAGCCCACAGCCCTCTGATCGTGAAGATGCCCAACAGACAGGCTGAGCCGGGCGTGTGCGTGCGTGCGTGCGTGCGTGCATGCTCTCGGAAACAAAGATCAGGCACTGCGCTGCAGAGAAGGATCGGTATTCGACAGCTGGCACGGAGGAGAGACAGGCCTGAGCCTGCCGCCGTGTGCGCGGGAGTCCAGGGCGGGAGGCCCAGCCGCCCTCAGGGAAGGACCCGTGCGTGTCCGCTGGCCGTGCGGCCCGGCCCGTCGCCCAGGTGTCAGTCCCGGCCTGGAAAGGAATGTCAAACATCTCCCCGGACCCAGAGGGAGCCAGGAGGGCGACCAGCCAAGCCTGCCTGCCTGCTTCACTTTCCCGACAGCGGCAGGCAGCGCCCCACCGCGGCAACTCACTCTCCCACTCCGGGGAACAACAGGACACCCTCCGTGCCGAAAGGAGAGAGCCGGGACGGGGCGGGAGAAATTTCGGGCGAGCCCGTCTTTGAGAGAAGCGCAGGTTGAAATCGGTAAGGGGGGGTGACATCCAGGACTCTAAACTTCCCTTCTCACGATTTCCGCAGATTTGTTCTGATCTCTTTTTATATCACCGCTCTCAGGCAGGACTGACGACACTGCTTCCGTCAGAACACGAGGCTGTCGAGGAGCACAGATAAAAACCCAGGATGGATATCTACGCCTCGATCTCCAGGGGGTTCTATCACCCACAGGCAAGATGAGGGTGAAAACGGGAGCAAAGATTTTAATTTGCCCCAGACAGTAAAAACACCAGCTTTATGTTCCTCTTGTAAAGCTAGATTTATTCTTAGAGCGTGCTGGCAAGAGACAAACTCTCTGTCAGCTGTGCGGATTCTAATGCAGTAATGAACGAGGCTCCTGCAGTGACTGTTATCAATGCTTGAGTTCAGAAAATGAAGGTAAACACAAACTGACTTTGATTATTAAGGGCTGTCTCTTTGGCTTTTAAGCAGCACAAAAGTGAAATTTAAATTTGGTATGAACCCGTCGGTCCCACGAGTCTGAAAGATGGAGGCCGGTGTGCCCAAAGAGCCCATCTCTGGGTTCAAATGAGTATCAAGGCCTGAACTTTTTTCGAAACATTTTGTCCATCCCTGAGCTCCACGAGCTGCAGCCAGCAGTCAGTCAAGGGTCAAAGGTCAACAGCAAACCATTCTCTCATTTTCCTCTTCTTGTAAATCCCACACTCCCGAGACGGATTTCAAAATCGGGAAAAGAGCAGCTTAATATTTCAAGAAAATCAGGTCTTACATACATTATATTTGAGCCCCCAACCAACACATAATATGACTACCGGACAAACCGGAATACATTTCCCTTTGGATTCATGTCCTTTGTAAGGACACAAATGCATTCCACAAGCCAAGCTGACCACAGCGATTTATTATTTCAGTGGCCCTGGAAAATTCTCTCCTACCTCAGCGCCACCTGACCCTCAATGAACTAATCATGCATTTAGCTTAACTACTGTACTGTATATCCCCTCTGTTCTCAAGTTTACAGGTGCTGGGGAGAGAGGAGTCCTACAGTGGATGTACTATACTACTACTACTACTAATAATAATAATATTAATAATAATAATAATAACAATAATAGCTTACACTTATATAGCTTTTTTCTGGACATTCAGTGTGCAGCCCCACCTGGATGATGCGCCAGTCCGCTCCCCACACACCAGCTCTCAGTGGGGAGGAGAGCAGAGTGATGGAGCCAGTTCAGAGATGTACTGTAAGGGAAAATGACGCAGTTTGATCATCTCAGTGTACAAACACTGCTGTTGACAGAGTGTCTGCACATACCCCTTACATCTGGAGGTAAATCACAATTGAACATAAAGGCAGCACTGCGCAACACTGACTGAGGACAAAAGAACCCAGTCTGCTAACGGCTGTCCTGTTTCACACTCTGGAGATGAATAACAGGGAGGGCTCTGTGGCTCAGGATCTGCGCCTGTGGCTGGGAGGTTGCCAGTTTGAATCCCGTGGCCGGCAGAGGAATCCTACTCTGTTGGGCCCCTGAGCAAGGACCTTCACCCCAATTGTGTCGTATATTACAGTTTCCTGCTCTCCAGCCAAACTCATCAAGGGGGAACCGCAAGGGCGCCATGCAAATATACCGTGCTATAACTTCCATCAGGGCAAGCATGATGAGCCCCACACAAGCCAGGGCTGTCCTGGGGTGCACTCCCTCTCTCTCAGGAACAAGCTCACACTAATAGGAGGTGACTGCCTCGCATGGACGAAGCCGTTAAAAACAAGTCCCTTCAGAGAAGATACACAATCAGAATTGAAGGCCCGTCTTCTTCATTTTCATGTTTTTTTTGCTCCTTTCTGTGAATTTTAAAGTGCTTTGCACAACTCTCAGAGGAGAATCACGTCAGGGGGTGAACCAGATTTTTATTTAATGTCTACGGCATAATTTACCATTTTTTTAGCAGGCAATGCAATAACACATACAGCATGCCCAGTTCGGTGCAGACCGTTCCCTTTATTAAAGCATCATGTTGTATAGCAGCTCAAAGCGAGTAAGGCTGGATGAAGCTACTGTAAACTGATCTCTATTTCTCAGGAATCAGGCACTACTACTATAATGCGTCTCTTCAAAGACATGGAAGAGAAACGCAAAGGAACAACAGAGAAATGTGTAACAACTGAAAATCGCACGAGAGCGATATCATTCCTAAGAGCAACCGAGCCAGATATATTTGCCTCAGCGCATTCGTAACTTAAAATCCATCAGGAACTGTTTTTCAAAAATAAAAAAGAAGCGGATTAAAGTTTTTTTTAAAAAAACATCATATACTACAGTGGCTCGGGCACACACACAAAGAAAGTCTCTTATCTCTCTAACCCAGTAACACACATTTTCCCGTCCCGCTCCGTCACTGCCAGAGATCTGCACACGCAGCGTTCGCTGAGGTTTGCATTTCCCGACTCGGCCTTTGTGTTCGGACCAGAGCTGTGGGCTGATGTCAACCACAATGCAAACCCCCCCCCCGAACCGGTCTCCACAGCAGGTCTGAAACCAGGAAGCTTCAGCCAATGGCGCCCCAGGCCCCGGCCGCGTGGGCCCCCAGAAAGTTCCTATGGTGTCGACAGCGAATCGCCCCCATTGTAACCTGAAAAGGTCAGCGCTGCAGAACAGGCCGCCAGCACTCCGGCCCCCGCCGCGCGTCAGCTTCAACAGGCTGGCCGGGTTTCAGCTCCGCACCAAAAAGAAACAGCGCGCCTGCGTTCGTGCCTTCTCTTCTCGGTTTTCACGGGAGTCCCATCCGATCAGAATTCCTCTTCCCCCCCATGACAATGTGCAGCGATGCACCGTCGTTTTCCCAAAACGTTTTTTTTAAACTGACATTTACACTGCTTTACTGCATTTCTGTTTTCCTTTACAACTGAATGTATCCCTCTTCATTTTAAGATTTGATTTTGACGCTTGGTTTGTAAAGCACTTTGAGCTGCTATTTGCATGACAGGTGCTCTATAAGTAAAGTTTCCTTTTCTTATTATTTTTTTAATATAACCAGCGCCACAGTTTGTTTTAACGCATGGTGGTTTTGAATGCCAGGCTCAGGCAATCAAGGTGTTCAGGTAAGGAGGCTGTCAGCCTGCTTAGGTTGAGAAGGAAAAGGTGAAGAGAGGGCTCGTTCCACGCTGAAAGTTAAAGAGGAGAAATATGTCGGCTTTCAGCACGGAATGACCTTCAGCTGTCCCTTTAAGGCAACCAGTGCTTCACCTTCAGTCAGTGCCGAGAGGGAGCTGTGATAAAAGGAAAGTACCTGAAATGTTTCACTTTCTTCAAATCAAGACTGAAAGTTCTTTCAATCTGCACAGAACATGATGCAGGTCTGAACCTCCGGCTGCAACAGAATCAAAAGCTATTCACGCCCGGTGCACGCTGAGCTAATGCCGAGAATGAGTTATGTAATGCCCGCAGAGCAATTAAAAAATGAGAATGAAAAGTTTCACATTAATCAGTAATTCACAGAGAACCGAAAAGGGAAACGTTGGTTCCACAAACGAGAAGGAAGACAAGTTTTCGAAAAATGAATTTAACCTGCACAACATCAGCGAGAGAGCCGGAAAGAGGAACTACCTGATAAACACAGAAGAGAGCGAAAACGCAGAAACGCCGAGAGAAGACGGAACCTGCTTTCTTTTAGAATGTCAATTCTCAAATAAAATGTATGAGCTAAAGGTCAGGTCATTTGAAGCAGGGATTATACGTTACAAAAATTTATAGAGCAGAGTAAATATTTAACAAGCCTTGGCGGTAAAATTTCCCCCCAATGCGGACAGATGGATAAAGAAGCCAGCAGCCATATCACCCTGCAACTCCCAGCTGGCAGCCCACTGAAGCTCAGCAGGTGTGAGCCTGGTCAGTACCTGGATGGGAGACTCCTGGGAAAGCTAAGGCTGCTGCTGGAAGAGGTGTTAGTGGGGCCAGTAGGGGGGCTCACCCTGCGGTCTGTGTGGGTCCTAATGCCCCAGTATGGTGACGGGGACACTATACTGTAAACAGGCGCCGTCCTTCAGATGAGACGTGAAACCGAGGTCCTGACTCTCTGATTAAAAATCCCAGGGCGTTTCTCGAAAAGAGTAGGGGTGTTACCCCGGTGTCCTGGCCAAATTTCCCCCTGGCATTTACCAATCATGGCCTCCTAATAATCCCCCTCTATGAACTGGCTTCATTACTCTGCTCTCCTCCCCACTGAGAGCTGGTGTGTGGGGAGCGGACTGGCGCATCATCCAGGTGGGGCTGCACACTGGTGCTGGTGGAGGGGATCCCCATGACCTGTAAAGCGCTTTGAGGTGAGTGTCCATCCATGAAACTCCTGGGCTCAGACTGGCCTCCGGCAGGGCTGGGAGCAGCTCCTTTCCCAATCCTGACAGGTTGGACACCCTCCAGCCCGCCCTGGAGCAGCTCCCCTGCTCCCAGAGAGAGGAGGGGGGCCCGACTCCGCGGCCCAGCAGCGCGATGCGTCAGCGTGGCATCCCCCTGCTCTCGTCTGGCCGCAGTGCGGACCTGTATCCGGACCTGTGTCGTTCAACCCCCACTTGCTTTCCTCTCTCCGCCACACCTGAAGAAGGGCTCCACAGCTGAAACGTTGCGCCTTTTTTCTTTCCGGCAGGGAATAAACCTTTACCCGTTCCTTTGCAGCCTACACATGCTGACGCAGCTCCCCACCTGAACCCGTTTAACCCCGAGGCCGCCATGTTGCACCCATCGCTGTCGGGCCGGCGGTGAATGTTCGGTGACCCCCGAGGAGGCCAGAGGGTTCCTGAAACCGAGCTCTGGTAAAGAGAGCAGTGCCACAGCGCTCTGACTGACCCTCACGAAGGTGCGCTCTTACCACACGCTTCCTTTGTGCTGCCCTGGTTTTTATCCCGCTTTCCCAAAACTCCCACAAGATTAACCGCGATTTCCCCTCCCTTCTGCTGAAACGAGGAGACGCTACACAGAACGAGGGGGGGCGTTCAGGCCAGAGATGAGCTGCGGGACAGGAACTGCATCGCGGAAGTGTGCTGGGACAGACACAGGGCTTTCACAGCCTGGTGACTTACCTCCAACACATCGAGACTTCTCCTGCTCAGAAACAAAACACTTCAGCCTTTTCAGGATTTTGCTGGCAAATTCATCTTTAATACAAAAACGCGTGAGAAGGTTATGTGGAGAGGAAAAAAAACAAAAAATGGGTCAAACACTTTTTAAATCATCCCCTGGATATAAAAGCCTGAACAGAAAAGTCAGGACAAATCCATGGGGGAAAAAAGGGATGTGTGCAGAGGTGAGTATTCTATCCCAACAATGTGGTGCACAGGCACAAGGTCTCCCTGTCTTCTGCACCTGTGTGCCCTGAGAGCAGCACCACGTCCCAATTATTCCCTCCCATCCGGCTAGATGGTCTCCTCGGAGACAGTGGCGGTGCTCAGGAAAGCACTCTGCTCGGTAGATTTGGCTTGTTGTGAAAACCTGAAGAAAACCCTGCTATTGTGAACATTACTTCAAGGTTGTGGGGAGATACGTTACTGAAACCCGCAGAGAGTCCATTCCAGGAATGTAGAACAAAACGGCAGCGCGGAGAAAGAAAGTCATCAGGAACTGGAGTGATCGACGTGGATCGCAGGAGAGATGCACACCCCGACTGCAGACCCTAGCCTCCGCCTCGTCTCCTCAACAAATAAAACCCGTACACGTCTCTGCAGCCTTGATTGGTTAGTAACGGAAGCTATTCGAGACAAAAATCAGTTTCTAACCAGACGCAGCCCAACAACAGCAGTAGTTTTTAATGCTGCGGTACCCTTGCTGGCATTTCTGCACGGATAGGGTGTGCCCACTTCACAGGAAAGATGCCCATCCCAGAAACAGGCTGTGCGGAGACCCATGAGGACTGTTCAGCTTGTACCCCTCCGCCCTCAGCTCCGACAGCCTCAGAGAAGTCTGCTCCTGCAGGGTCATTTTATTAGAGCTTTCCTCTATTCAGAGCGGGGAAAACAACACATAAAAGAATAATAAAAAAAAGTTTGGTTTCCAAACTAGACAGAATGGATGATAGCCATATCCTCCAATTATACAAGAGTAACAAAATATTTCATGCAATACATCCCATTTCCAGATTTTCTTTTTTTTTTTTGTTTTGGCCTCCACACCTCTGGCCTCCAGTCCTCTTATTTTTAAAAAAGTCAAATGGAATAAATTTCCTTTGCATCTGTTTCGGGGGCAGTGTGATGGCCTCCCAGCTCCACTGTGACCCCTGGCCTGTGTTCATCGGAGCTGGGGGTGCACGGCGGCAGTGAGGGGGTGCAGGGTGGCGACGCCAGTTTGCCGCTTGGCGTTCCTGAGGTGGCCCCCCCGCCGTCCCCCGCGTCTACCAGGAGCTGAAGTCCCCAAAGCCGGCTCTTCCCTTCGGCCTCTTGGCCGCGGCGGCGCTGGTGGAGGGGCCGCCCTCGGCTCCGGCGGTGGAGCGCTTCCTGCAAGACAGCAACGATTCCCGTGAGACGGGGACAGCAGGCCGGCTCTTCCGAACGGCACTGGGGTTCGGGAACCAGAGGCCGAAAGCTGAGCCTCATCAAATTGCCCTTTCTAATCACACTTGTTCCCCCCCCATTAATGCCCCCTGTGAGCAATCACACAAAGACACTAATGACCAGCGGACAGATACAAACTGCAGATCGGCAGAAACTCTGCGATAGTTTGGATCATCTCAAATTACTGCTTTATTCTAGTACTGCTGCAAGAACTGCAATTCACATGTATTTAGATTGTGGGAGTTCTCCACTCAGACTGATGTCAGGGCTGTGTGGGGCTCCAAAGCAGATCTTTTAGCAGATCAGCTCCTACCTTGGTTCATGAGATACCTTTTAACTGTATGAGCAACAGCATGTCCCTGGCTCTGAAGAATTCGGACCATGACACTGAAAGCAATCCCATACAGTTCCACAGAACAGTATGGATGCATGTAAATGTGTATGTGTGGGAATTCAGAGGAAAGTGTACTGGGAGACTGGGAGACTGGCAGGGTCAATCAGAAGCCTTCAGCGATCTCTAAGACCGGCCTCAGGCCACGCCGAGTCTGTGTCTCAGTTAGAAACCCCTGCTGACTCAAGCTGAGCTCAGGCCCCCCGAGCACCAGCTCCGAAATTAAAAATAAAAAAGCAGAGCTCAACAGAACGAGGCCGCAGATGGCTAATTAAAAACAACACCCTTACAGCGGCCCTCCAACACTGTCTGCACAGTCTGGGATCGGCTTAGTCTTCGCTTCAGAGAAAAAAAAACCTTACGGATCATCTGAGACAAGCAGAGTGGGTATCTCTTGGATAATACAACATTGTGTTTCCCGGGATCAGTCCGAATCCTTCCCTCTTACACAAGAGAGCAGGATGCCAAGTCAGTCCATGCAGCTGCCCCGCGCTCCACCCTGTGCCTATCACTGGCTGCCACACGCTGAGCAGAAAAGCAATTAATGAGAGCCTGTTGCGCCAGCGCGACGTGGGGCTCTTGGCGGGCGCTCCCTCCTCTGAGCAATGCCCCGCTGTGGGAAAAGCCAGGCCACACCGTGCCCTCGCTTCCTCTCCACGGTCTTATCTCCTGTTCCGGATAAAACACCCAGCGAGCTACTCCTGCCTGGTGGTGGGGGAGGAGAGAGCCGGCTCTGCACCCAACACTACTGTACCGTGCTGGCTGGGCACTCGGTGGGGGTGGGGGGGAGGAGGAGACTGCTCAGGGCGAGCTCTGCACTACAGGAAAAAAAACATCAAATCTGCCCTGAAGAGGTGCAGTACTTGCTGGGGAAGAAGAGAGCTCACAGACCAGAGGAGTGTAGCCATGTCTTATCCTGGGGGTCCCAATTTCCCCAATTTAAAGGGGAGCAGCAGTCCCAATTTCTCAGACCGGTTATTAAATCTTGGTAACAAAGTGAACTCACTGACAAAAAAAGGACACATTTGGAATGAAACACCAAAAAATTGTGAATTTTGTGAAAGAACTGGAAGTTGCCATGTTGTCGACAGACGTGCCTTCCAGTTCCCACGAACGGCGATCTGAACCGGCCCTTCCTGCTCACTAGTGACTGATGTACTGTGAATTACAAGCGAATAATGGGAGGTTGTGCAGCGGACATTTCACCGCAGAAACATTCCAATGTGATCTGCAGGCAGAGTTAACAAATAAGTAGTTTTTGCTGGCAAAATCGTCTCTGAGTCGAGGGCAAATATCTCTATTGGATTAAAAGAGATGAATTGACAAGCCTGCTTGTTTACAGCGTAATAAGGATGCAACAAAATATCGGACGTTTTGTTGCCTCATTCTGAATAGCAGAACATTACCTGGAAATGTAATCTATTTTGTGATGTAAATTGGGAGCTATACTGTGTACATTTTATATTTTTTGGAGGTTTGAAATGCACTCATTGGTGCTGATTGTTTCTAAACCCCGGAATAAAACAAAACAGAACGTTGCAGCTGCTCTTCCAATATGGCAGGACTCGTGGCACTAGTGATCATCAGCTTGCTCCAGGATTCAGCACTCCCAGCTCTGAGACGGGTCTCTGAACCCCGGAGCAGCGTGGGGGGGCGCGGCTGGCTCTTACGTCGCTGCAGTGTTGATGTACTTGCCCACCCCGGGGCGGAAGGTCCTGGGCGCGGCGTCGGCGCCGCTCTTCGGAGCCGCTGCGGTGGCTCGGGCGCGCTCCTCCTCCTCCTGCTTCCTCACATCCCTCTCCCTCTCAGCCGCGATCTGGCGACACAGGAGAAGACCGGCCGCGTCACTGCGCGAGCCGAGGAACGCTGCGGCTCGACCGCAGAAGTCTTCGCCAAAATTCAAAATGGCGGAAAATCACAATGATGACAATGGCGGACCATGTGAACATGAAGATGAAAATAAACAAAGCTTTATATTGAAGACTTGCCTCATACTTTGTTAAATGTCCCTTTGGGCGCATACAAGCCAGAACTCTCCTCGGAAATGTGCGGTACAGATTTCTGACGTAGTTAATATCAAAGCTGACCCAGATATCGTGAATAATGGCGAACAGTTCAGCAGATGTAGTGACATTTCAGGCTTGATTTACGTTTGATCTTGAGCCACAGATTTTCCTTTTTTTTTTAGGTCTGGGACTTTGCAGGCCGTACGATACACCGAATATTATTATCTCGTTTAAAATCATTGACAACAAAGGCTCTGTGGACAGGTGCGCGATCATCTCGAAATCGGAATAGTTTATTGAAAAAATGACGGGCCAGTACAGGCCATAAATGTTCATCCGATATTTGGATATATTTTATAGCAAGTAATATCTCGGTCAACCACACAAAGTTCTACACCGCAGTATGTGATGCATCCCCACACCATTACTGAAACACGTCGCTGGCGTGCTTTCAGGACGAAAGGCTTCTTGAGAAGTGCATTTTCTGTCACGTGTATCGATGACCGGAACTTTTCAGGATCAGCTACGTCCAAGTCAAAATATCGAAACAATAAGAGGGCACTGAAGCGGGCAAGCCTGCTTAACAGGCTTAGCAGGCAGCATGGTGAAGGCCCACCAAGAACCCGGACCAACCTGGGCATCGGCTTCTTCATACGGGTCCACGAACACTGTGGCGCTCAGGAGCTTGATCTCTGACTGGGGCAGCGAAGGAGGGGGAGAGGTAAAAGAAATATTTTACACCACAGGAATCAATCAGAATCTACACATACTCTTATCTAAGGATTACCAGGGGGATTTGTGGAATTTAATCTCTCAAATAGAAAAGAAAATCCCTCCCTGTATTTTTTTTCTGACAGGGCCGTTGTCTTTTTTTCCCAGAATTCCCCCCAGCTGATGTGCCAGAGTTCCTCTGTCAGCCCCCCTCCCCCAACTCACACACACTGCAAATATTAATCAGAAAGTGTTACATAACTAAGGATTAATACTCAATAAATTTTGTTTGTTCACTGTTTGCTTGTTTGTGGCGTCTCAGATGTTGCTTTCTGGGTGCTTGTGAGATCGATAAAGGCAGCCTTGTAAAAATGGGTGCTCTCTAAATCATCATTCTAAATAAGACCATGTTCTTAAAATGTGACTTACGAGGTCCAACAAAGGTTTCATTTAGCCACGCTACCGGTCAAATGAGCTAGATGAGCTCCTCTAGTATGGAAGCTGTCTTCTGCTGTTGAGGCTCAGTATCTTGGGGTTCCTGCGAGAGCGCCCCACTTTCCACCTCAGTCCAGCACCCTA